AAAAAAAAAAAAACTCATTTTCAAACAAATTTTGCAACATTTTGTAATAACAAACAGTATTAGTGTTCAAATCCATTTAAAAAAAAAAAGAAAAAAAAACTCGTTTTCAAACTCATTTCGCAATAACTATCGGTCTATCACATCAAACACTCATTAATCATCTTGCATCTTGAAGTAACTGTTTGATGATTACTAATGTCACATATATTAGACACTAATTCTTTGTTATAATAGTAAATGGTAAATGTAAATGTGACACATCAGACATTAATTCATCTCGTAAATAAAGGCTTGAGCATCTAGTTTATGACTATTAAATATATATATATCGATTACCCTAGGGTTGCGGTCGAGTTGGTTGGTGGGATTGTCGGTATGTTGCAAGGCAACGACGATCAGCTCCTCGTCGCCGGTGTTATAGGCCCAATGGGCTGCCCCAGCCGGGATCGCAATAATGTCGCCTGTTTTGAAATGTTCGATTCTTTGGTGCCTGTCCCTGAACCTCTCCCTTGTCCCCTCCTCCGACTCTTGTTGTTGTGACGACTCGAAAGTTTCCGGGCAGCCCGACAACAGTATCCCGAAAATACCCCTCCCTGCATGGGGCCATAACAAAACAGATACCGCCAAAAATTGTTATGTTTTTATGTTTTTGTTTGTTGCGAATAATTAATTACTTCTAAAATTAATTTACCTTTAACGACGTAAGCTATAACGGGGGCATTGTGGTAGGCCGGAAGCATGAGGCCTCTCGCCTGAATCCGGTGGCGGTGGAGAGAGCCTCCGGCACACCGGAACTCGTCGGAATTGTGATCCCAAGACTCGGTCAAGCCGCCTTCGGACCGGAGGGTGTAGGAGGGCTCCTCGGCGTTAATCCTCGAGATCTGGCAACGGCCTTGCTGCCAGCTGGCTTGATGTGTGGCTAGGATGGAGCCAGCGAGGAGAAGATAGGTTAGTAGAGAAAGAAAGAGCTTGGCCATGGTTTTGGGTTTTATATATCCAACAACTTAACTCTTAGTGTTTTTGTGTGTAGTGTTTGGTGTATGTGGCGAGTTGAGAGTGTGTGTGTGTGTGTGTGTTTTATAGAGAGTTGAGGTTGGGGTGGAGGCATACATGGCAGCATGCATGTGTGTGTGGGCTTGGATGGGTTACACATAAGGGTGAGGTGGCTTTGGGTTTCTGAGAGGTTTTAGGACAGCCTGTTTTTCTTGTCTGTATTTGTTGGGGGTGTGAGTTGATGAGGTCTTGCTGGTGATATACGTGGCAGCAGCATGCATGTCATCGTATAAATGTTTGCGTATAATACCACGTAGAATGTGTGTTATTTACTATGTACGTTGAAGGTCATTTATATGATGGTAAGGAGGAGAAAAGGTTGAAAAGGAATCGAGCGTTGACTTTATCGAGCTAGCTAGCTAGGCTTGATTTTTATTTTTTATTTTTTTAATGCTGCTCGAGCTCAACTTTTTGAGGCTCGGCTAAACTCAGATGAAAATATGCACACGTTCGAGATCGACTCAAATTTCATCAATTTAAAATTTAGAAATTTTAAATAAATAATTTCTAGTCAATAAGAATGTTTCTTGAGTTCAACTCCAAGTTGAGCTTGAGTTGAGATCAAGATATGGATATTTAAATAAATTACAACTATACTCTGATTTCAGATCAAGATTAAGGATACTTAAATAAGTTAAAACTAAACTCAAGCTACTTGTCCGCTTAAGGTCGAGTTTGAGATGCTCAAACTCGACTCGTGCTCGATCAAACTCAAGCTCTTGACTTGAGCACTCACAAACCACTCGATTCATTCCTCTTCTAATTCCTACTTCACCATCTTCAGAAGTACATATAATCGTTTAGAAAATACGAATTATGGACAAGTACATTAAGTCAAATACTTTTGTCATTAGCATATATAGGATTTGTAGAGACGACTCTAGCTTTCATTTCTACAGGGTTGAGAGATTATAGCGAATATGAGTAGCTGATTTTCAAAACACGGCAAAGTATGTGCTTCCTGGTTCATCTTTTCATGCACATGGAACTAACAAGTTAACACATCTGGTCATTTACATTTCTACTTCTTTGCACATTGCAAAACTCAGTTGATCACTCGTGCACGAATTTCACCGAGTAGCAGCAGACCTCGGGAAAAACAGCTTTAACGGCCACATTCATACATGTTATTCTCAAGATTCGCGGTATTTGGTCAGATCAAAGGTCAGTGTCCTTGAACAGCTGTAAAGGCAAAGGAAAAAAGAAAAAAGAAAAACATAGATGGTAAAGAAATAGGAACCATCGAATGTAAGAAAATAAACACAGGAACAAATGCATGTAAAAGAAAAGGCGTCGATTTCTCACCCTCTGTCTGAATCCCGATAAACGCCAACCAGAGCCTGGGCTTTGTCATAAAAGTTATCCTTAAGTGAGATCACAATACTCTGGAAACTAGATCCGAATTGAGCTTCTCGGTCAATCCTTTCACCACCACATGATTTCGACCGGATAAAGCTAGCAACTTTGGCCACGTTTAAATTGTCTAGTGCAGCGTCTACTTCGTCCAGTATGAAAAATGGTGAAGGCTTGAAACTGCACACCCCATGGGCAAAGAAGTCAAAAAAATAAAATAAAAATTAAAAAAGATCGAGTAGTTACTTTTATAAACTCCTTTTTAAATAAGATAATCCATATACTGAACTCCAGGAACGAAAAAAAAAAAGAAAAAAAAGGGAAAGCTTTCATGTAAATCAGAACGGATATCTGCGGCACCAAGCATAAAAGAACATAAAGAAAATCTAAAAACAAATAAAATAAAGAACTTAATGAAAAAAGGAACGTGACCTTTAAAAATTTCTTAATGTAATCCGCCAACTATCATTAATAGCTAAGCATGCTTGGATACAAGATTTCTTAAAAAAAAATCCAATCATTTTAACAATCACTTATTTTAACTTAATCTAACTCAACTTTAACCCAACTCCACTATCCTCAATAATACTAATATTATTAAATAATACTAATCAATCATTCTTACACATCACATCGACTTCAGTTTACTATTCATTCACTCACATAATTTTAACTAACCATCACTTCACATCATCCCTCTCCTCCTTTTACATCAAATTAAATTTAATTATTCTATTTTAAATATTATTTTAATATAAACTCGAAATCGCACAAACAACTAACCATACCACTTTTTTTCAAAATTAATCATGGTTAACCAAAAATTTTTATATCCAAGCATCCCCAGAGTCGGTCAAGAATCAATTATGATGACTTCCACACATTATATTATATATACCACGATAACAAGATTGATAACTGCAAAACCTAAACAAAAGATTATGATATGCCGAGATACTTCTGTTCGTGTGCATACCTGTGGATTGCGAATAGCAATGCAAGTGCGGCAACAGTCTTCTCACCACCAGATAGCTGTGACATATCCCGATATCTCTTGGTCGGGGGCATTGCACTGTACTTTATTCCATATAAATAAGGCTCATCAGGGTTCTCCAAATTCAGATACGCGGTCCCACCCACCGCATGTGTGCTACTCACCCCACCCACCGAGTGCGTATTGCTCTTTGTGAGTTCGTTGTATATTTTGTCAATGTTGCTCGAAATGTGATTAAAAGCTGCCATAAATAATTCATGCCTGGAGCCAACATGAAAAATCGGTGGGTCACTACGAATGTAAAGATGTATTTAGAAAATAAATAAATAAATAAATAATTATTCAATGCATACCTTCTCTGCTTAACTTTGTTATACTCAGCTGTTACTTTGTTCTGTTCATCCCTGGCAGCTTCCCATTCTTTGGAAGCAGCTCTTTCCTTCTCAAGCACAGCCTCAAACTGATCGAGTGCCTTCAGATTAGGAGCCGTTCTTCCAATTTCAGTGGTAAACTCAGTTATTTTCAGTTGGAAATCTGCCTCGATCTTCTCCCTTTCGGATGGTTTTGTCTTCTGCTGAAGTGATCTGCTCAGTGAACTAAAATCGATAACCGGCCCTGGGATTGATGATCCAGTATCCATAGGGTCATCAACTGTTGGAATGTTTATCTGCTCTAGTTCACACTTCTCCAGTATATCTTGCCTTCGCAAAGTCAGTTGCTCTATTTGAGCCTCCTGTAAGTTACACAACCGTGTCGATCAAAAGTAGGGTGAATTACAGAAACAGAGGCTAAAACAGAATCAAACTCGAGCATTTGTAATTTTAAAACACCTCTAGGGTCATTAAATCATTTTGCTAAATAATTGTGTCATCTGTAATTTGCGAGTTCAGACAGGTGAGCTGTTAAAAGAACATATATGGAACACAATCGACCTTCATGACTGACCTTAGACTTAATCTGACGATTGTGCTTGGTAATATTAGATGTTGCAACTGATATCTTTTTCTTCCAACCCTGGATTTCCCTTTCGCACTCCTCTGCTTTCGATTTCCATTCTGATAATAAGCAACATACAGAATTTTCATATTTAGAGTAACTTTTCAGTTGACAGAGAGAGAATGGCCTAGCAATCAGTAGGCATGCATAGAGGAAGAAGCAGAAGAATTGGTATTTTGTTAAAATGAATGAATCACAGACATTTAATCTGTTTAACAATAATTAACGTGTAATGCATTAAACCATGCCTCAATGTAATAAAATATGTG